TGAGATCCCAATCAGTTTTGATGGCTGTGCTTCCCTGCAGGAAGAGGAGTGTGAGACAAAATTACTCCACCACAAGAAAAGGGAACAGAAAGAGCTCCTGTAGCGCTATAAAGCCTACCATCTGGAAGAAGGAGGTATAACGCCAGTGACCCCACACTCTCCAATCTAGTTGGATTTCTAGGTATTTTCGGTTAGTTTGGGTTTTAGTGGAATTTTTTTTGTGTGATGTTTTTCCTTCTCCCCTCTCTCCCTCAAATGTATATGTTTACCTCTATTCATATTTCTTTCTACTTCTGCTCCTTAAACACCTTCCCTCTCCCCTGACATCTGCTCCATTCTAGCTATTTCAATTCCCTGATTCCTGCTCCACTCCTCGTGCTGAAAAGTCTGACGAAAATGTTCACTTGTTCACTTTATCATACGCCAAGTGGCAGGAGCCTAGGGGACATTCTTATTTCACTCTGATGCTGTTCAGTGGAAGCCCCCTCGAGCTAGCCCTTAAATGTCACCACAATCCTGAAGGCCCACCCTAGTCTCAAACAAGAGAGTCTCTATTTCTGCCTAATGGCTCCCATTTAGGGAAACTGGTGGTCGTGTTTACCCTTTACTACAGATGAGGCCTATGGAAAAAATGAAGGACAGCTACCCGTAATTTACAAGAAAGGTATCCAAACCAATTTTCAGTGCCTTCAGCCTAGAAGCTGCTGTTGGCAACAGTTTATTCTCCAAAGAAATTGGAACATATTCCAAAATACATTCCTAGCATTCTTCAGTTTACATGTTTGATTACATTTAATGAATTCACCAATGCAAACTACAATATGAACATAAGACTCATTAAATAATCATAATTTTTCAAGAAGAGACACCAAAATCCCAGAGAATGTATTTGTGTTTACAGACTGCTTTTTTCTCTAACACAGCTGTCTCTTCTTCCTATCTCCTTTTCCCCAGAATTTTTTCCATACTGGTTCTCAGCAGGCTGACACATCTTCCACCCCATCCCAAACTGCATGCTACTAAAATACAGCTGAAGTTCTTCTTTAAATCTCTGGACTCTAATCTGTATCTTTTCAATACAAAACTCCTCACAGCACAGTTGTAAAACAATCACAATTCAATATACAAGAAGTTTTCCCCAGAAAATAATTGGAAAATATGACAAGTTGCAACCACAATTTCCCTGATTTCACAAGGGAAAGGGTATTAGAGCTGTCATACTGCAGTGAGGAATTGCCTATTTTGATTCAACCCTATTCTCTTGACCTGAAGAAAGGCAGCTTTGGAAAAAAACCAGACCTTTGGTTCAGACAGATCTCCTTTTGAAAATGCATAGTTATTATTAATTTTTTTTGTTCATCACACCACCAAAAAAAAAGGAAAAATTTACATGCAGGCCTTCCTTGTGCATACAAGAGAGTATCAGTACTTCTTTGTTTCTCTGGAGACATCCATACCTTTGAATTTATGGGATAGAGAGAGGCAGTATGCATTTACATTGATCAGGATTTAAATATGCAAACTGAAAAACGTTAAGAGCATTAAGACACTATAAAAGCAGCTGTAGTGTAGAACAGTGGGATCACTACACATCCTGTGTACAAATGTATCCATGAAGCTACAGGAAGTGCAAGGGATGTGTATAGACTCTCCCAAGAGATTAAGCATGGCTCACTTTTCATAAGCCCCATTATATTTCACTCTTGCCCCAGTAAATGGGAAGGTGGTATAGGAAACAATTTTAGGGGGGGGTCCTAGGACACTCATCATTACTGAGGACCCAGCATACAGTTCTGTTCATCTAACTGCACTCTGCTTTTCCTAAAAACATCATGCTATCTTGTCAGGGCTGCTGTACAGCTGAGCTTGTGTCAGCAGTTCCTCATTCACACCACCTGTGTAATCAACGGCTGAGACTTGGCATTTGCTTTGAAATTTTACATTTCATTTACTTTAGATCAAACAGTGCATTTCCAAAATTAAAATATTCAAGAAACAGGTGCTGTAACATTTCTTTGCCCTTTCCATTAACGCACAACTTTATCTCAAAAAATAAGCTACAGGAGTAGCATTTGACCATTTCAAAGAAAATGGAGCCAGGTAATCAAGATCATTCCCCTTGCCCAACAGATAAAACAGCTTCTGCACCTGCTGCACACTTGCCACTTGAGACTAATCAATTCTATTATAAAAGCATAATCCTCCAGCATTGAAAATGCCAGAAGAAAAACAATACTAGCAGACAGAATCTATGAACACTTTGAAGTACAAGTGTCTGCAAAGGAGTTTAAAGTGGTTTACATCTGTATTTTAAACATACATACAGTTTCACTGGGACAGCCACTTGGAAGCCTCAAAGAAGGTACTGTGTGGTGTTTACTGCTTCTGAATGAGAAGGACAAGTGCCTTCCAAATAACTGACAAAGCTGCTGCCCTTCTCCAGGCATGGAGAGATCTCCACCAGAACAAAGCATAATCACAAGTCCCACTAGAGACTGCTCCAATTAAACAGCTGCTTTTACAGAACAGTAAAGATAGGCAAAGCGCTTCAGGACTGTTCCCTTTTCAATTAGAACATCAAGGAAAACTACTCTCAGCACCCAAGTTGCAATTTTATTGACAAAAATTTCTTAACGCATTCTGGTTTCAATGTTTAGCCTTCAGAAAAAAAGGTTTTCTATGAGTGCTGTGTTTCTTGGAGAACAGAGTGTTTCATTTTGCTCTAATTCATTCTGTTACTGAATTAAACTTTGATGTATTGGTCTTGACAAGCGCTTCACGCTGATTGTATTGCATATGATAGTATAATCACTCCCCATGCATTTCACACTCGCTGGCTGATTAATGCAATAGATTACCTGCAGCACCGATGGCATGAAGGAATCACTGTCCTTCTGCAGGCTAACCTCCAAGCATGCAATTCAGAGAGGGGAAGTATAAAAGAGAGACAAAATAAAATGCTTAATTCCTTAAATTTCCCTTTCTTACTGCCTGCTGCTGCTATAAGGGTTAAAGGCACATGCATTTCGCTGAAACAGGTATTTACATATTGAGATTCTATTCTAAGCTATCAGCAACCACATGGTCTGATTTCTGTGTCAAATAACTGCTTTCTATGTTTTCAACATTTAGTAAAATGGAATAAGGAACTAGCCACACTCTTCTGACATCTTGCATGAGCCTACTGTTCTGGGTTATGACCTTTCAACTGTATTTTAAAAACTTGTACATTTTTGCAGACACTGCCATTCAACCAAAGGGTTTCAAAGGTTTTCAAAGAACAGAAATTAACTTGTGAAGTGCAGTTTACAGTGTGTCAGTGAACTATGATCTCCCCAAGAGAACATTAAGCATCAGTCATGTGTTCATTAGATACCCCTCTATGCATCTATAGCACTCTATAACCTAACCACTTTAGCAAGATAGGGGCTATTAGTCTACAAAACTAAAGAAAAGTATAAAGAACTTGCAAATGAATGTCACTGATTAACTTCCTTCATATTAAAAAGCTGTTTAAAGATTTGTTTACAATCCACTGAAGGCAAAAGCAGGGCTAACACTAACATATATAGTACAAAAATAGTCCTTTACCTTAATATAATTCTTCACAATTTTAACTAGTTGCGAATATTTAGGTGACAACACGAAGTATGCTCCTGACCAAAATATGTATCAGATATTGTACCAATTACTTTATCTAGGAATATACTCTCAGTAGTCACAGTCTATCTTCAGAGACTTCGAGAATTTTCAGAAAAGTTGATGTGACTGTAACTACAAATGCATTAAACTACTTCAATATAAATTTATCCTTGAGATGAATGAATTCCTCTCACAGCTAATTTTTTTAGGAAGAGGCAAAACAGGAGATGTTTGTTCAACAAAACAAGCTGCTAAGAAAACAGAGAGATAAAAATACCTTTCCTTTACAAAAAAAAAAAAAAAAGGCAGAGCAAGTGAAGCGCAAACACTCCCTTGCACACTGGGAGTTATAATTACCACTTCTCACAGAACATAAATAATGCGCCGTAACTGACCAAAGGAATGCATTCTGATTGTATGTTTTAATTCCTACCTACACTTTTGTTTCCCAAGTCACTTTTATCTTCCAGACCAAACACAATTGCTGAGTTTTTACAAAAACAGCATACCTCAATTACAACTTCTAATGCAACAATCTAGCATAGCACCTAGCTAGACAGTTTACTGACTACCTACCACAATCTAAAATTCTGAGGTTATTTCTAGTTTTTTAGTTAAATTTCTCCAGCTCCAATTACAATTTTCAGCTACCTTTTGTGGGTTTAGAAGAACTGTAAATTTCCCTATAAAATTTTTTATCTATGTAGTAGATAAATTATAAAGGATTTCCTTTGTCTTGATTTGACACACCCGATCAGATTGATATTCTTGCACGTCTCACTTCCAATTTGAGTTTTTTTCCAGTACTCATTCAAGACAAAAAAAAAAAAAAAAAAGGAAAATAGCACAAGGCTAGATGGCTGAACCACAAGTAAAGCTCGGAAATTGGTGAAGACTCAGTAATTCCTCCCCATGAATCTATTACTTCTCTCTAGCTCTGGTATTTACTAGAAGTGGCATTGAAAAATTCAACAGCAGCCTAATGTTACTGAAGTATTAAAAATAAAGAGTGAAAGCAAGGAAAAACTAACACTAATTATCAGCTTGGCTTATAGTAAAACTCTGTCCTTAATCTTTGCAGACATGATTCCACAGTTAGGGCTGCAATGAATTGTGCACCAGCTCCAATACACAACATTTTAAGGACATTTATAAGTAGAACAGCTCAACATCACAGGAACAAAAACAACAACTGCTTTAATGTGGGTACTTAAAAAAATCTGAAGTACTTTCCATCCAACTGAACAGAATGGAAATGCAACTTTGTGTATGGCATTAGAAATAAACCCCACAAGCTATGCTTACACACTAAAGGTAATTACTGTGACCATTATTTCTGAAATCTGATAAATGCCAAAGGATTAGCTCAGTTGGTTAGAGCATGGTGCTATTAACACAAGGCTGTGGGTTTGATCCCCATATGGGCCATTTACTTATGAGCTGGATTCAATGATCCTTCTGGGTCCCTTCCAGCTTAGAATATTCTTTGAAACTACCTAAAAACAACATTTTTACTGTCATACTCTAGCCTCATACACACCCTCATTTCAAATACTATAACAGCAGTATCAGTAATGGAGGAAGAAGGAAAAGATCCCCAGAGAAGGCGGACTAAAATCCATCTTTGCCAAACAGCAGCCTAGCTTCATTCACTGAGGAAATGAAGGTGACAGCATCAACCGAGACACTGTAGGGCCATGACAGCAATTTAAGTTGCCATCCATAACTCAGGTCTTAAGAACAGCAAAACTGTCTTGTGATGCTAATTCTGACCTACTGTTAATTTAGCACCTCCAACAACAGAAATCATTCAAAGACACTGACATAGCTTAACAGCTTGTTCTGTGAAGAAGCAGGTGTAACCTTAAGTGCATGACCTGAGGCTACATGTATTTCATAAAACTGTGACAGCTGAGACTAAACAATATTAATGTAACCACTACTTAAGTAAAGACAGCCTACAGGATAGATAAGACACAACTCAGAGTAAGATACCACTCTACCTAGAAAGTCCCATGATGAAAGACCAAGGGAAATGGTGCATCCAATCTCCTTTCAGACGCAGGGCTTCTTACAGCTTTCATTTCAAGCGCAGAAATGTCCTATGTGCAACTGACTGATTTATACCCAGAAATTTGAAGTTAACTTTATTTCCTACAAGTGCAGAGCATGGATACTTTCTTTAGCCTTAAGGCAATATGTGATGCAATTATAAGTGGGGATATTCAACAATATAAAGACAATATGCACATAAACTTGGCAGTCAAATTTCAAACTTAGTTTTGCTGTACTGTTTTATAAAAACATAAAATACAGGGAAAAGTGAATGTGTCTACTACATGGTTGACCCTAAAAAGGGATTGCATGAAGTATGCAGGTCCAGAAAAGAATGATACTAGAGCACCAAAACTGTAATGAATGCTTAACTTTATCTGTACTTTTTCATGGCAGCCCTGGAGTAATCCTCAAATCTGGCACCAGGAAGGAATTTCTCTAGGGGCATACTGGCAACAACCATAGCTGCTTTTGTCCTTTTTTCCCCTTCCCTTAAGTACTAAGCAGAGATAATATGTTTAAAACAGTTGACATGTCCCATTTGTGCAAGTGCAAGTTTGTGTCTCTAATTGCAAAGGGAAGGAATGCCTGAGAGAAATATAGATGGAGAATAGCTTCATTTAGTTAAGGTTAAAAGAACCTTACTTGGTATTTTCTAGAGATGGATATAAACTTTTATCAGAAAATTTCAGAGTGGTTTCTGAATCAAAAAAGTATTATTTAACACTCAATCACTAATTTGCTCATGGCAAAATGGTAATTAAATCTCTCTTAATTAGTCTATGATTCCTTTCCTAATGTCAGCATTCAGAATTAAGCTTTAGATGAGGAACAAAGTGTTAGTAATAAAAGTCCAGGCATGATCCATCAGGAAATACACTGTACTATTTCTCTATATCACACGACCTTGTAAAATGGTATTTTAGTTTAACTTTTAACACAAAACAATATCACTCTAATCCAGAAAATGGTCAAAATACCAATAAGTGTGAAATCAAAACAGACTACCAGCCTGACCCAACATTAAAGCGTGATACACAACAAAGTGCTAGTGAAAACCTAAGACATTTAGAACTACTGCAGCAAAGTCATGTTATCCACTCAAGAAATTCCTCTATAGCAATAGTCCATTTAATATGCTAGTATATATTTAGTATATAACAGAAAGGATTGTAAGAATGTCACTGGGAAGAGCTTTGTCATGCGAATGAGGCTCATTTCAATACCTACACTTAAAAACCTGAGATTCCAATAGGTGATTGAGGAAGAGAGGAGATAATCCATTAAATTGTGGAAGGTACCCAGCAGAACATAGAAAGTACCATTTAAGTTCTCCTCAACATCATAAAATAAGATGACCAAATGAGACCTGGATCAGCATGATGCAAAACCAGAACACATTCACCAATGTTATTCACTGTCCTCCTTCCCAAGGACCCCTTTGAACCCAACCACTTCTCCACGTCAAAGCCATTGTATTTCTACTTCACAAGAAACTAATCCTTGACTTAAAAAAACCCAACTCTCCTCCCCCTTTAGGAGTTCTTAAATATCAAAATGGAGGAAATCTACTAGAAATGTTTGTTTTGAAACATGCAAATTATGCAAAATTTCTTTACCATGAAGACAAGCAATAGGATATGAAGATACTGAAAAGAGTAGTTCACAGGAAAAAAATCTGATTCTGTAAACTACATGTTCACAAGGTGTTGGGCTCCATCATTCCATCAAGAACTAGATACTTGTCTAAGATTCTTCTACTTGACTGCTTTCATCAGATTAAGCATCTGGGATTTAATTTAAGAGTTTCAGCTTTATTAAGCTGTCACAAGAACACCCCTATTTTGATAACAGTAGCTGCTCCAATTATGACCTGGTTTAGGGCTGACAAGTATAACGATTCATTCATGGCACACGAGAAACAATAAAAAGTTGTTTTGCACTACAGCTTTAAAAATGTGGGCACTTTTTTTCATTTAATTTGTCGCTTAGCTTTTGCTAAGAGGACTGTTAAAGTGCAGTAAGAGGCCAATGGGGCTTTTAGTTTAAATGCAATACCCATATTTAAATGATCTGTAATGGCACAGTGTTCGAGTGGGAACACTTGTTTCACAGTGGGCCCTGATGGTGACATGTGACATTTGTATTCAGGTCCTGTATTATCCATGTGGCTAAAGGCCTTCCAATTTCATTTCACAGCCAGAAGCCTGCAGAAAACACCAATTAACTTGCAGATCCCATTTGCCGACAAAACAGTCTCTTCCCAGTGTCTGGCATTCCACAGTGCTCAACATTTAATTCCAAAGCAGAGCTTCACAGCCATCATGATCCCTGATCTGGGGTACAAAGTCAATTCCCCCCCCGCCCCTTTTTTAGCGAAATATTTTCATTTTTGATGAGACCAAGCAACTTTTACTTTATTTCTCATGGATGAGTATTAATGACTTACTTATCTACTATGATTACACAGTCTATTTTTTTTTCTCTAGCCTATGAAGAAAGCTAACTGACCTTTCCTTCAAATCAGAGATCTCAGTTCAACAGGCATCAGCAGGTATATACACCGTGCATTTCCATGTCCAAACCCCATTTTACCAATGCAATTTATTTAAAAGGCAAACCAAGGGGCTTCAGATAATTAATCATTATAACATCCCAAACTCCTCAACCATGGTTGCCACAAGTCGAACACCTAAAGATCAGCATGTAAAATTTATGTACTGGGATACCACTTAAACAGTGAATAATTCCAACTCTGCTTTAAACTCTGCAAAGTGGAATTCATGTATTACTGTGGCAAGTTGGAAGTGATCACCAGTGCATCACTGAAATTGCATGTAAATTCTCCTAGTTTGATAAGCATCTGAGCAAGCCTTAGAGCTCTGACTTGTAACCTTTCCAATAGTTTTCCTCTAACATTCTGTAAGTAGCATATAGCTTATCCCATTCCTGGATGTGGAACAGGGGAATCTGCTAGGCAGTTCTATTCTTACTCCCTATCTAGAAGTTTGAAAAAAACAATTGCCTAGTTATGTGGAAGATCTTTTTGTTAACATGATGCTTTTGAATCATGAATTGCTGGAGAAATTAGGGCTTTGTACTAAAATATTGCCAGATTCATACTTAGACCTAAAGTGTCTTATTTGGGGGGTCTTGAATAAAGATTTCGGTGGTTTTAGTTTTAGGGGGGTTTCATTTTTATTTTAGGTGTGTGAGGTTTTGCTCTTGTTGTGTTTAAATCTGCACCTTCAAACATTCAAACCCAATCTGACTTCTACTGAAATCAGTTGAATTTACCACAAACTGAATTTACCACAAATTTGAACAGGAACTGTGATCAAAGCCCAGTGTATCCTTCCAGTACCTTTGCGAATACCCAATGCCAGGCAGAAAGCATCACTTAAATTCTAATGAAAGGCTCAAATAACCCAGTCAAGGAGCAAAACTGAAGTTATTTAAGTATGTTTACAAGTCTATGCCAAGATGGAATTGACAAAATGGCCATATGCCTAGCAGTTGGCAGAGAGCATATCAAGACAAGCAAGAGAATTTACTTATTCTTGTGCCCTAAGATTCTCCATAACTACAACAAGTTGCTATCTACCTGTGACAGAAATGAGAGTAATAGCCAAAAGATTTTTTAAAAAGACATACAGATATGCCTTTCCCAGATTAGTCTGAACAGGAAATAAAAAATGGTAAATATGCAGAGGCCTGTGTTTAACTCCCTCCACTGATGTTTTGGTTCTCTGACACTCTGTAAGATAAACAAGCCAACATTACTTTGTAACAAATGATAGCATGACTCCTTCAAACACAGGGTCTGAGTCACCTACTGGAACAGATTACATGCTGCTGTGGCCATTCTGCTTTTCCCTCTGCAGTCTGCTCTTGTAATTCTGCTATTGTAACTGGAAAATCTACTTGAACTTTTTGTACATGCACTTTTTTTTTTTTTTGAGATGCAAGTTTCACATGGAAAAAGCTATGTTTAATTTGAAAACAGGGAAACTCAAGCAAAGTAAGGTCCTAGCAAAAACACTGCAGAAGCTTGTAGCCTTCACATCAGGTAGAAGTTAATCTGGAGAGATTCACACAATTAATAGCATTTTGGAAGAAACTTGCTAGGCACCAGTGGGGAGAAGAAATAGACAGTTTAGAAACATAAACACTATCTGGAGATGGAAGAACCAAGTTAAGTTCTACCCTTTGCCTATTGCTCACCTGGGGTGACTGATACGTACCTGCAGCTGATACAAGATCAACATATTTTGGTACTCTTAAGAGGTGTTAGAGCAGTTCAGGACTGAAACAATGTGATCTGCCTCAGACTGCAAATACAGCAGCTCAGGTAGTGGTAAGGCTGCTTTTTG